GATTTCACAGTTGAATATGATTTCTGATCAACTCGCGGCAGCAAAAATGCGAATTGCTCAGAAGAGAATTGTTCTGGAAGAGGTATGTCTTAAAGTTGTTCTCTTGCTTAATGTACGTTTTATGTCTTTCAGAATCACTTTTCCAGCTGCGATTTCATCTTTCATCTATTAAAGTTGTTTTCAGAAACAGGCTCAGAGTAGTGAGAGGTATGCTAAGTTGAGCAGATTGAAGGAAGATGAATCAGTGAATAACGATCGTTTAATGAAACTCTTTGTATCACCTGAAGCTCTGGTTGCTGTCACTAATTATGTTGATGAAAGTGAAAAGCGGGCTCAGGCATTGCAAAGTCAGTGGATACAGGTTAAAGCAGAAAAAGATAAGGAGTTGCAAGAAGCACGTCGATTGTATGACTCAAAGGTGTGGCATTCGTTATAATTAAAAATTTTGAATTTTTTTGAATTTAATTTTTTTCGGGTGTTTTTTAATACTAGTTTCATCTTTTTCTTGTGACTTCTCAAGTAAAAAACATCTAATTTGAATGTAAAAGTTACAGTTTAGTTTTAATAAGTTGCTGAAACAGCTTTTTTCAACTTTCACGGCTAAATTGGTCGAGTTTTTCTTAAATTTTTCTGGTTCTTTGATGCTCCAATTTCAAAAATTGATTTTCAGTTCAAAAGTGTTTGTTGCTCCTCCAGACTGGCTGAGGTTTCCGAAGCTGTTGAAAGGTTGAAAACTCAAATGCCCCGGAAGCAAGCAAAATTGAAGAAACTGGTCTGTATTCGAGTGAAAATCAGGCACCTATATAACTTTAAGACCTTCTTCCTTGAGAAGAGGAATACCTTGCATTTCTGCATTTTCACTGTTTTCACAATGATATTTGTTACAGGAGGCGAAATTAGATGGCATGGAAAAGACTCCTCTTAACCGCAACCTTTATACTAAAAGAATATTTGAAATGGTTGCTAGCATTAAAAAACAACGAGAGGAAGTGGAAAAGGTATTATAGTTTAATTGGTGAGTTTGAAATCTTATTACTTCTTTGTTATCGCTTTCCAAACGTTTTTTCACTTCCAGATTTTGGTAGATAATGCTGGAATTCAAAAGGAAGTCGGATCACTGAACGGGAAATTGGATCGGACTTTCACAGCAGTAGAAGATCGACTTTATGAAGTGAAATTCAAAAAATTTTATTTACGCTCTTTTTCCAGCATTGCCTCTTTCTTAGTAAGTTAGAAGGAGTTTTACAGGAGGCTCAGCGTGACACCTCGATGCAAAAAGCGTATAGGCTATTGGTAAAAATCCATGAGGAATGCGCCGCTGTTATTGCCATTATCGAGTCAACAGGAAAAGCAGAGAGAGAGATCAATGAAATAAATGACTTGGTAATTTTACAGCACCTTAATCATTCTCAAGGAGGGGCGCTTTGCATCATTTTTCTGTATACTGATCGTCGCTGGACAGTAATAATTGTTTTGAATTTAAAGCCTTTTAGATACGTATTTTTTTTTGACAATTAGGCCAGGCAAGTTTTAGAGCACTGCTGATTTAAAAGGCTACACTCTGACTTCTATTTATTTTATGGAAATTGTTCAAAGTTCTTTTTGGTTTTTTCAGATATCTGCCATGCAACAAAAGGGACTTGACGAGATGCTGGAAAAAGTATTGAATGACTGGATGGCTGTTAAAGAAGAAAATAATAAGCTAAAAAATTCATTAAGTGGTTTATCATAAATCCAATAATACAAATCATAAAATGTGCTTCCGCATGCCTGTGAAGAATACTGCGGATGTATGTGCTTTTGACCTTAACTGGTTAGTGTTAAAAGCGGGTTTTTGAAGATGTACAACATTCTCTTCTTCAGTTTCATTTTTATTGAAGAAAGATTGCAAGCACTGATCGCAGATTATTTTGAACAATGTGTACAGAGAAATTTCAAAACTGCTTCCAAGCGTGTAGTCAATTCTTCGTTGTCAAATTTGTTTGAAAATACTTGTTTTTTCGGAGACTTCGGATTACTTTTAGAATATCTGAGACGGAATTTTTGACACTGATTTCGTGAATGGGGGAGTTCTACGTCTTCAGTCTGTAAAAAAGCATTAGAAGCTAGCCATTCCACGAAACGCTCTTTCAGCTTTTCGTTATGGGGTCGTTGTTAGTTTCAAAACAGTTAACTCAACTTCAAGAACTTTACTACTTACCCAAGTCTGAGTGTCCTTCTAAACTTGGAAAGACAGTCACTCTCAAGCTTTTATTGCTAACAAGAAGCTATTTGGTCACTGACGAAAAAATGTGCATCTTCAAGTTTGGATTTAGCTGTTAAGTATCATATCCTAAGCGTTGAATAGGTGAGTTCCAAAATGTTTAAAGAACTTTTAATTTAGCGTTAGTTTTGTGGAATGGTTGGCTAGGTAAAAATCCATCTTCAACATTTCTGTTCTGCCGCCGATGTTGCAGCTTGTAACTTGGCATTTTTCTTCGGGAAGAGATTCTGCACATCCATCTTGTGGTTGTTAAAGCGCGTTATTTTGCTGCTTTTAGCCGTAGGGCTTAGAAGAAATGGAGAGCTGATGCCTCCTGAGCAAGCTTTAAAGTTGAGAAAGGAATCATTTGTGGTAGAAGGAATTGGCATCTTTCAAATTATTTTATCAAATTATCATTATTTTTCAATTCAGCTGAATGGTGTAGTAATCATCCAGAAGAGTTGAGTGGTTGTTCTGCTATCCAAGGGGGAAAAAAAAGTACAAGAACTGTGTAGCCTTTGTAAACTTATAAAAATAACTCAGTTTATTTACCCTTTACTGCACTACATTTTCAAAGCTCGCTTTAAAGTGCTTATGCAAAGAAGAATGAATATAGTGTTACTAGGTTACTGCGCAATTTAACACCGAAGATTAGTGGTACGGGTCAGGAAAAACTCGCCCACCTCGCCGAAAACAAAAAGACATCTGATTTTGAACGCGGCGCAGATGAAAATTCCGCAAGTTTGGTTCTTAAAGCCAGAGGTTTAATTTTGGCAGAAGTTGGATCAGGTAGAATGCTATGATGCTTTTTTGATATCCTACCACTCAGTAAATTTTCATGAACACTTAAAGCACGTGAAAACGATAAGTGCCTAAAAAAAACAACAAATTCAATATATATTGAAAGCTTCATTTGAAGACAAGAAGTCTTTTTAATGACCTCGCAGGTGGTAGAAAGCTGAAGATCACATTAGGATTTTATACTGAAGTAATAAGGATTTAAAAGTTAATAAGATATGAAGTGCAGTCGGAAAACTGTCTTACCGGCTGTTTCAACCCATGAAAAGAATGTTCTACGACGGAATGACTAGCGGCAAAGCGACTAGAAATAAGCACAAAACAAGGTTTTTTTTTT